TTTTATTTAAGCCATTATAGGTGTATACTGGTATCTTATGGTTTTAATTTCTATTTCTTGGTGATTAAAGTGCTTATTTGCCTTCTGTATGTTTTCTTTGGTAAAATGTCTATTCAATTATTCTACCCATTTAAGAATTACATTGTTTATTTTATTATTATTGAGTTTATAAAATTCTCCACATATTCTGGATACAGGTATCCTGAAATTTGTGCATGGGTAGGTCCCTAGTGGCTGTTGGCTGCCGGCTGGAGCCTCCCTTCCCCCCGGCTGCCTGCTGCCACCGCTGGCTAGGGCCTCCCTTCCGGTGGTTGGCCAGCCCCAACCCCTGGTCGAACTCCTGGTCAAGGGGACAATTTGCATATTAGGCTCTTATTATATAGGATGTGTTTTACATGTATCTTCTCTCCAATATATACCCATTTTATTAGGGATAATGATTTTTGTGTTATATCGAAGAAATCTTTGCTTACTTAAAGATCACAAAGATTTTCTCCTATATTTCCCTCCAGAAGTTTTATAATTTTAGATTTCACATTTATGTCTATAAAATTTGAGCCATTTTTACATACAGCGAGGTAAAGGACTGAGGCTCATTTTTTCCTCATGAATTACCTGTTTTTCAAGCACGACTTATTAAAACACATTTTTTTCCCATTGAAATGCCTTTGAAACATTGCTGAAATAAACTGACTATAGGATATATAGGTCTGTTTCTGATCTCCAACTTTGTTGTTTTGTCAAATTTGTTTCAGCTATCTTTGTTGTTTATAGTTTTCCATGTTAAGCTTATTGATTTCTACAAACAAAATTGTGATGAGATGTTTTCATTGTGGTAAAATATACATAACATGTATTCTTTTAACCATTTGAAAAGTGTACACTTCAGTGGCATTCAGTAAATTCGTAATGTTGTGCAGCCACGACCATGATCTAGTTCCATCCAGAACATTTCCATCAACTCAAAAGGAAACCCTGTTCTCGTTAAGCAGTCACCACTCATTTCCCCTTCCTCCCAGCTCCTGGCAACCACTGGTCCTTTCTGTCTCTATGGATTTGCCTATTCTGGGTAATTTGTATAAATGGAACCATACAATGTGTAGTCTTTGTGTCTGCAAAGTGGGGAAAAAAGTGGGGCTTTTTTCCCCACTTTGCATAATATTTCAAACTCATTCATGTCAAAGCATGACGATTTGTGTTTCCTTGCAATTCCCTATGAATTTTAGGATCAGCTGTTTATGAAATAAAAGGCCATTGGACATCTTGATTGATACTGCACTAAATTTGTGGATCTTTATGGAGGGGGGAGGGGGGAGTACTGCAATTTTAACAATATGTTCCGGCTGAAACCGGTTTGGCTCAGTGGATAGAGCCTCCGCCTGCGGACTGAAAGGTCCCAGGTTCGATTCTGGTCAGGGGCATGTACCTGGGTTACGGGCACATCCCCAGTGGGAGATGTGCAGGAGGCAGCTGGTCGATGTTTCTCTCTCATCGAAGTTTCTAACTATCTCTCTCCCTTCCTCTCTGTAAAAAATCAATAAAATATATTTTTAAAAAAACAATATGTTCCAATCCATATACACGGGAAGTCTTTCAAATTTAAGTCTTCAGTTTCTTACATTGATCTTTAGTATATGTCTTGTACTTTCTTGATTACGTTTATTTCTCAGTATTTTGTCCTTTTGATGCTATTTTAAGTGGAATTATCTTTTTTAATTTTTTTGTATTCAGTTATTCATTGCTAGTGTATACAAGTACAACTACTTTTTGGGTGTGCTTAGATTTTCATTGCAGTTGTATTGAATCTATAGGTCAACTGAGGAAGAACTGTTGAGCCTTACAATCAATCCTGAGGGGACTGAGAACGCGGATCCTTCACGCGGACCATGAAAGGCCTGAAAGGACCACGTGGCTTTTGGTCAGCCCGCAGGCCCTGAGGGCAGAGACTGTGACTCACCTGGAACTGAGGCAGCAGCAAGCAGAGGTCACTGGGGCCGCCAGGATGAGTGACTAGTGCGGTGGAGCGGAGGGCGCAGCGGAGGGCGCTCTCCTCTGCCGCCTTGGGCCCTGCGCCATGAGTGGGGGCGGGGCGCATGCGCAGTCCAGAGCTGGTGAGCGTTGGACACGCCCACGCCGCACGTGCTCAGCGTGCCGTCAGGAGCCACGTGACTGCCCACGTGGGCAGCTGCCTCCCAGCTGCTTGACGGCTGGGCTGGCGGAGGGACCGGACTGCGTGGGTGAGAGAGTAAAACTCACTGAGAGAGAGGCAAGCAGCTTTCTCTACTATGTAGGATCACTTTAGGGCTGGCAGATAACACATGGGAAGCCGGTGAAATTTGCAGTGGGGTAAGCAGTTCAAGTTTTAGTACTATCGCACGCCCAAGTATTTGCTGTTTATGTGAAATTGAAGTGTAACTGGGTGTCTTGTATTTTTGTTTGCTAAATCTAGCAACTTTAATGTTAGGGTTTAGATGCCAAGTTTGAACATTTAAGAGCAGTGTTGTGCCAAGCCACACCACAGCCTGAGGCAAAAGGAAACGTGCCCTTTATTTTTGTGTATTTTTAAATAGTTAATGTTCCCCAAATAGTAAACGTTTAAAATATTTTAAAGTTGAAAGGTTGGTATATTAAAATTCATATTATTTTTTAAATATATGTGTATTTTTTATTTCATAGAGGAAGGGAGAGAGCGAAACATCAATTATGAGAATTATTGATCAGCTGCCTCCTGCACACCCCCTCCTGGTTCATAGGTCAGTGCTCAACCAGTGAGCCAGGTTGGCTGGGCAAAATTCATATTATTTTTAAGGTTAAACATTATACCAAAAATAAAAATTACTAGAAATTTTATTTTCCTGGCTTTAATGGAGGCCAACTCATCAAATTTTTCAAAATTTACTTCTCTTGATCAAGTGAGATCTTAAAGTTTTTAATTAACTTCAGTTACTGAAACTTCTTTTGTAGGATGCTGCTGTGGCTGGTACTGTTTTTAAAAAGTTCCCTAAACCACTTCTGTTAACTCAAAGGGTTTGCCGCTTGGTGTGTTCCATTTAATAACAAGTTGTGCCCACAGTGTGCGGTTCAATGGTTGAGCGTGCACCAGGAGGTCATGGTTGCATTCCAGTCGGGGCACATACCCAGGTTGCAGGTTCCATCCCCAGCTGCCAATAAATAATTCTCTCTCATCATTGATGTTTCTATCCCTCCCTCCCTCTCCCTTCCTCTCTCTGAAATCAATTAAAAATACATATATTAAAAAGAACAAGTTGTGCCCTAACCGGGTTGGCTCAGTGGATAGAGCGTCGGCCAGCGGACTAAAGGGTCCCAGGTTCGATTCCGGTCAAGGGCATGTACCTTGGGTGCGGGCACATCCCCAGTGGGGAGTGTGCAGGAGGCAGCCTGTCGATGTTTCTCTCTCATCAGTGTTTCTAACTCTATCCCTCTCCCTTGCTCCCTGTAGAAAATCTATAAAATATATTTTTTAAAAAAAGAACAAGTTGTGATTGTCAAATAAAGCAGACTGGATTCACAACCAAAGCTCTATCTCTTTGAAGGCTTAGTCATTGCTTACAGACATTATGTGTTTACTTACATGTTGATTTCTTCTTTGCATTGGCGAAACTTACCAATTGTGGTAAGAGTCAAGTTCATCTAGCCAGAATAGGATTTAGTAAGAATCACCCAGACCTTGAGACCCTGTACTATCTAACACTTGCAAATTTGGGTAAGATTGAACTAAGAAAAATTTGTGAATCAGTTTTAGAGGACCCAAACTCAATTCTGATTTTATACAATGAATTATTGATACCATATGCTGCTTAAAACTACTTCAAATGAAACTTAACACCGGATTTCCTTACCAGCTGACTTCCTTATAGGTACTGCAAATGGAAAGCACTAGATGAAAATTAGATGGCAGTAGGTAGGTAGCAATTGCCCTAAACCCATTGATTAAAAAAAAAAGTTCTGATTGATTTTTAGAAGAGAAGAAGAAGAAGGGAAAGGGATAGAGAGAGAGAGAGACATTGATGAGAGAGAAACATCATGGATCAGCTGCCTCCTGCATGCCCCCTACTGGGGATTGATCCCACAACCCAGACATGTGCCCTGACTAGGAATCTAACCAGTGACCTCTTGGTTCATGGGCCAATGTTCAACCACTGAGCCACACCAGCTGGGCAAAAACCCAGTGATTTTTTTTACATGAGACATAGTTTTATATATTAAGCCACTGAGACTTAGGGGTTACTTTATTCCTTCAGCATAAGCCAATCCTATCCTAATAAAATATGCAAAAATAATTTTGTAAAAAGACCCCTGTACTTCATACAACATACAAAAATAAAACTCAGGTGAATTAAAGTCATAAATGAAAAAGACAACATTATAATGCTTTTAGAAAAGAATACAGGAAATATTTTCATGATCTTAGGATATAGGAGAATTTCTTAAGGCATAAAAAGCATAAATCAAAAAGGGAAAACTTGATAATTTGACATAAAAATTAAGAACTATTCGTCAAAAGAACTAAGAATAAAAAGACAAACTAGAAAAAATATATAATTTGCAAAACATATAACCAACAAAGAGCTTGTGTCCATAATATATTAAAAATGTCTATGAATCACTAAGAAAAAGACGTGAATAGACACTTAAAGAAACCTAAGGACTAATAAACGTACAAAAAAGATGTTCAATGTCATTAACAATCATGTTAAAATTAATACTATTCAAGTAACAAGCTGACTAAAATTCAAAAGTCTGACAATACCAGATATTGGAGAAGGTTGGGAGAGCAAGAACTCTCATTCACTCCTGGTGAGAAAGGACACTGAAGCTTGGAGGAGATGTAAGTGTTGACACCAGGTCTAGTACTCAAGGTCAGGGTTTTGCCACTAAAGTACTTATTACCCAGATTCTACCTCCACAGAGGAGAGGCCTCGGAAACAGTGAACTTGATAAAAGCTCCCATGTCTTAAAAAATACTCCAAATAAGGCTCTTTAAGGCTTCTGGCAGGGACATTTTATTTTTTTTGGTTAAAGCCACATTAATAGAAATGCATAAAGACAAACATGTAAACAAGGTATCAGAACTTTGGTTCACTGAAACATCTCACACCTAAAGCATCTGAGGTACAAAGGCACCTTGCTAGGTGCCAGACAGCCTGACTCTGCTGCACCCACTCTGACCCGAGATGGCACAGGCTGACCAGAAAGGCTGGGACCAAGGTCACCCAGGACTTTCCCCTATCCTCTTGGTCTGCTCCAGCAGACATTCACTTCTCCAAAGACCCGCCTGACAGGGGCTGGAACATACAAAGGTGTTTGTCACGTTGAACTTGAAGACAAAAGGCTGTGGGACCAGGAAGAGGATGGGCAGAAAAGGATGTCAGTCAACTTCTGTTGATCCACATGGCCTCAAGAACTCCTGTCCTCGCTCATGGAACCACTTATTGGAGACTGTGAACAGATAAAATCTATGTTACAATCCTATTGGTTAGGTCAGCCACCCCCCCCCCAAATTAATGACTCCTTCAGGATGAATCCTACACTGGACCGCGATTCAGATGTATGACACGGTCTCAGGTATCAAGTTACTCAGGAGCTAGTGAGGAAGACATATGTATAAACAGATCATTGTACAAAAGTCTGTCAGTGACAGAAGTTACATGTGTGTAAGGTTGCCACAGAAACAGAGCCAAAGGGCATTTAACCATATGAGGGAAGGAGACCACAGAGCTGGGCATGAAGCTGAATAGGAGTTATCCAGGGAAGAAGATGGACAGACCATGATGGTTCCTATATCAAGGGGGTCCAGGAAGTGAGAACAAGCTGAGAAAGACATCAAGGTTTGAATCACTCTGGTGTGTGATAAGGACCCCAGCCAACTCGATATTATTGAAAATTGGTGGGTGGGAACTGAGAGGTAGGAGAACAGGGAGAGGAAGCATGTCAAGATGGTGGAGGGCCTAGATGTCAACCTCAGGAGCTGTGTGCCAGCGGATCCCATATGTGTGCTGTGCGTAGCCACGCGGTCAGCTAAAGCTGTGTCTCAAATTTGCATGAACCATGATTTCATTTCTCAACACAGTCTCTTTCTTTCACAGTGAATACAACAAACTTACTCCAATGCACTACAGAATACATAGAGCATTTTAAATATGTTAATGTAAGGTAATACAGGTACTTGGTTTAAAAAAATCAAATTATTGCCCAGCGGGTGTGGTTCAGTGGTTAAGCATCAACCTATGAACCAGGAGGTCACTGTTTGATACCTGGTCAGGGCACATGCCCAGGTTGCAAACTCAGTTTCCAGTAGGGGACGTGCAGGAGGCAACCCATCAATGATTCTCTCTCATCATTGATGTTTTCTCTTTCTCTCCCTCTCTGAAATCAGTAAAAATATATTTTTTTAAAAATCAAGTTGTCTACAAAGCTTATAATGATAAACAGCAATCTTCTTCCTACCCCTTCCCACTACTAATCCCCCCTTCCATTAGACATTCAACTTCTTCACTTGTCTTCTGATATTTATCCTCATTTTTCTAAATAACATGCTTACAGTGCTATTTCTTGACTTTCAACTTTAGAATTCTTTTATATTACCTCTAAAACACATACTTATTACCTCCTATATACTTAATATAATTAAATCATAGGTTTTACTTACATTAATATTCAGTATTTACATTGTTATATCATGTAAATACTGCTCACACATGAGCCACCTAATAGATTATACTTATATTTCCTTTTTTTTTCTTTTTTAAATATATTTTATTGATTTTTTACAGAGAGGAAGGGAGAGGGATAGAGAGTTAGAAACATCGATGAGAAAGAAACATCAATCAGCTGCCTCCTGCATACTTCCTACAAGGGATGTGCCCGCAACCAAGGTACATGCCCATGACCGGAATCAAACTTGGGACCCTTGAGTCCGCAGGCTGACGCTGTAGCCACTGAGCCAAACCAGTTAGGGCATATATTTCCTTTTTGTGCAACTTTTTTTCCCCCTGGTCAGCAATTGCCTCGATTTTCATTTTCATTTGCTCAATTTTCTGTGAACCTGTCACTATCTCCAAAACTCCCCAGGAAGGCTATAAACTCATCTCTTTCTGATCACTTCCTGTCACACGCTGGTTCAAGCCTCTCCATGGCTCACCACAGCTGCTTGCTCAAGCTTCAGCCTCTGCGGTTTGGTCCCAGCCTCCAGCCTCATCTCTTGGTCCCTGTGCCATAGGCCTCCCCTTATCCAAGTGACAAAGGAAGCCAGTTCCCACACCTTTGGTGCTGGTTTTAGGCTGTGCCTTGTCCCGCATGCCTTGCTTGCCTGGGACACCCCTTCCCCACTTTGATTCCAGTTTTCCCCCAGGGCTCCCTCTGAACCCTTGCCAGAGTCCATCGCTCTGGGGCGCCATCCTGGACCTCTGATGCTTGTCTAGCTATTCTTTCTCAGAGCTCCCACGGCTCTCTTGGCATCTCTGAGAGTGGCCTCAAATAGTTGTCTTGGCACACACCCAGCTGAATGGTTGGGAGGGACTATCAGCAGGATTTAAAAAAAAAAAAAAAAACTAACAAAAAAAACCCAACCACACACCCTGGCTCCTGCTTCTGCCCAGGACATGCCTTGTATTGTAAGTTCTCCTAATATCTTGATATAA